TTCGGATGAAAGTTATTTCAAAAACGATGTGTCGGTCAATTTTGAAGAGTTGTACTTCGGTGTGTATTGTGCGTTAGTTACGGACCGTGATACACGGTATCCGCCGGTTACGAGTTCATCATCGAGTTCAAATAGCGGTCAAGTGAATGTCACATCGGCAGTGATGCCAAGTCAACCCATATCAACGGTACATTTTCCCGACATTCCAAATCCAAAGTTTTCGGGTGTTACAGCCGATTGGCCTGAATTTCAAGATGCATTTGGTCGGTTGATACATCAAAATATGGCACTCAATGCGATTCAAAAGTTTCATTTCTTGAAGTTAGGTTTGCCACCACACTGCGACAAAGACATTCATTTAATGCCGCTCAGTGCACAAAACTACGCTACGGCATGGGACATGCTAGTGAAACGGTATAACATTCCGCGTATTTTGCATACGAGTCAAATGAATACATTATTCTCGATGTCGACAATACAAAAAGAACGTTCGGAAGACTTGAAACATTTACTTAATACCGCGAATGTGTGTCGTAACGAATTGCGTCGTTTAGAAATTCCGATTGACAATAGTGATCATTGGTTAGTTTATCTTTTAGTGACAAAATTACCAAAGGAAACTCATTCGAAATGGGAATCTCATCTCGGAAGTCGTACCGATATACCAACTTTTACGGATTTTGAGACATTTATGAGTCAACGCGCAATCACCGTCGATGTGATGGAAAATCGAAACACCGTTATGCAAGGTGCATTGAATACAATCAAATCAATTGATCAACCGAAACCGAACAATTCTTCGAATGTGTCAAAGTCGTCTCAACGAAATCAACGATTTGAACGAAAATCATTCCACGTTATCGCTACTCAATCAAAGGTGGATAAGTGTGTTGTGTGTGAGGGTAATCATATCCTGCGAAAATGCCCAGTTTTTCTGGCCAAAGACTGCTTCGAACGAAAGGCTATCGTCGACAAAAATAAATTGTGCCTCAATTGTATGAGTGGCGCTCATTTCATGAGCCAGTGCTCAAGCCAGAGAAATTGTCAGCAATGTGGAGGCCGTCACCACACGCTCCTACATTTCACTTTCAACGGTAATTCCGCTGCGACTACGGTAAATACACAACCTGTCCAACGAATTCAAACCCTTACTACCAGTATGGCTCTGGCAAATAAAGAACCGCCCAAGGTTCTCTTGGCCACAGCATTAATTCCAGTCATCAACGTTGTCACGGGAAGAAAATTAGTGCTGCGCGCTCTTATCGATCAAGCTTCAGAAGGAACGCTTATCACTCGGCGAGGTGCTAACGCTTTGGGTTTACGTCGAACGCCCATGGTCACTGACGTCGATGGAGTCGGTGTTAATTCGAATGTCAGCACAGAATGCGTAAGTTTTGCATTGCAATCCAATCTCAATGAAAATTTCGAAACATTTGTCAACATGGCATTCGTCATGGATCGAATAACGGCACCGTTGCCGAGCAAAGAAATTGTTCCACAGGATTGGCCACACATTCGAACACTTGTCCTCGCCGATCCAACGTATTTCAAGGTAGGTGAAATTGACCTGCTCATCGGTACCGAAATGCAAGCTGCGATACTGTTACCTGATCAACGCATCGGTCAACCAGGTCATCCAGTTGCACAAAATTCTCATTTCGGATTGTTTGGAAACACGGAGCCGCCGGCTTCTGATTCACCGACCGTGTCACCGCACGGCAAAATTAAAAATTCTGTACGCTGTTTTCACACTACAGTCGACGCTCAACTTGATACGCTTGTACGGAAATTCTACGATAACGAACAAGTGCCCGAAGAGCGTGCACTTTCTCAAGAAGATCAATGGTTCATGGACTTCTTCAAACAGACAACAGTTCGTCAACCCAACGGAAAATATTTGGTGCGATTACCATTCAAAACCATCTTCGATCCAACTCAAACGATAGGGCGTTCTCGACAAATCGCTCTCAATCGATTTCATCAGCTCGAACGAAGGCTTCAACGAAAAGAGGGTTTGATGGAACGCTATGCAAAAGGTATGCACGAATATTTTGAATTAAATCAGATTCTTCCATCCACTACCACAGAAGAACAGCATTGCACGTTCAACGAAGTCAATCAGTTCACGGTTAGTGCATGCGTTTTGGCCCATCACCACGTTTTGAAGGAAGACAGTTTAACAACCAAACTGAGAATCGTGATGGATGCTTCGGCAAAAACATCGAACGGAAGGTCTCTGAATGACATTCTGTGCGTCGGACCAGCGCTACAAAATGAATTACCATCCGTAATTCTGAATTGGAGGTTGAACAAGTTCGTATTCACGTGCGATATACAGAAGATGTATAGATGCATCGACATGCATCCCGACGACATAGCATATCAAAAAATATTGTGGCGAGACGAAAGGAGTGAGATCCGAGAGTATTGTCTTACCACCGTCACATTTGGCACAGCGCCAGCCCCATGTATCGCCATCAGTGTGATTCATCTCATCGCTGAAAATGAGAAAGCGCGATATCCGTTAGCCGAGAATGTGCTAAAAAATGAAATGTATGTTGACGACATACAAACCGGCAGTCATTCAATTGAAAATGCAATCGCCATCCGTGATCATGTCACAGGTGCACTTGCGTCAGCAATGGAGTTGAGAAAATGGGCAAGCAACACGCCAGAATTGCTCGAATCAATTCCAAAGGAACATCAGTGCAGTAGCACGCTCTTGGATATGGATAGCAACGAAACGGTCAAGACATTGGGAATGTGTTGGAAGCCGAGCGACGACGTTTTTAAATTCACCATTAAATTCGATTTACCAACGAATATCACCAAACGTTCGGTATTGTCCACCACCGCACGTCTTTTTGATCCAATGGGATTCATTGCACCAATGATCGTCGCAGCAAAAATGATTCTCAAACGAATTTGGAATTTTCGCCACGAAACATCAGCCGATGAAAACGACGAGAGATCAAAATTGAGCTGGGATGAACCAGTTCCTGAGCCGCTCTGTTCACAGTGGCGACAATTCATCAGCGAATTACCATCGATTAATCAAATCTCCATCCCGCGTTGGATAAGTTATTCACCGAATCAATTAATTCAGTTGCATGTATTTTGTGATGGATCATCGAGCGCTTATGCAGCGAATGTTTATATTCGTCTTCAAGCCGAAGGCGAACGGGTTCATACGCACTTGATTATAGCCAAAAGCAAAATTACACCAACAAAACCGCTCACAATTCCTCGGACGGAACTTTGCGGCGCGGAATTAGCAACGAGATTGGCTGCTTGGGTGAAGAAAAATCTCCGCATTGACTTCAATCACGTACCGATTTACTTTTGGAGTGATGCCACAATCGTTTTGCATTGGATACACGGCGATATCACTCGATGGAAAACATACGTTGCAAACCGGGTGAGTAAAATTCTATCGATCTCATCCACTAGTATGTGGAATCATGTAGATACAAAGGACAACCCAGTTGATTGTGCCACTCGAGGTTTGACGCCATCCGAATTGGCGACGTTTGATTTGTGGTGGAAAGGACCGACTTGGCTCACTCAATCACCCGACGTCTGGCCGAAGTTCAACAACAAAGAGCACAAGTTCGATGATGTCACACTCGAAGCCAAAACAAATACCGTTCATGTGCACGTTACCATACCCACTGAATCGGTTGTATTCCACTATTCATCGCTAATTACCTTGATTCGTGTCGTCGCATGGGTTTTTCGTTTTCGGCACAACAGTCAAAAGATTAATCGAAACAATCGACGATGCGGTTTATTGTCGGTCATCGAAATGAACCACAGCCGATTAAAATTAGTGCAGTTAGTTCAACGTGAAGCATTCGGCAAAGAAATTCACACCATTCAAGCGAACGAATCGCTGCCGAACAACAGTCGAATCAAAGGTTTGGCTCCATTCATCGACCAGAACAATATTATTCGAGTACGGGGCAGATTACAGCGTTCAAATTTGCCGTACGATCAACGTCACCCTATCATCATGCCGAAAAGTCATCACTTCACTCGATTGCTTATTGATCATTCGCACGAAGTCACATTGCATGGAGGTGTGTCACTCACGTTAGCACATTTACGTCATCAATATTGGTTGGTCAGCGGCCGACAAACCGTTGCATCTCGTCTACGGAAATGTGTGACATGTTTTCGAAGCAAACCTGAAGTATCGAGTCAATTGATGGGAAATTTGCCATATCATCGAGTCAATCCACCGACGAGACCGTTTGTAGCGACGGGTGTTGATTACACCGGTGCCATCGAACTGAAATCATCAAAGTATCGCGGAAACACTACATACAAAGGATTCATTGTGGTGTTCATTTGCCTTGCGACGAAAGCAGTCCATTTGGAAGCAGTGACAGGTATGTCAACCGAACATTTTCTTTGCGCATTACATCGATTTATCGGTCGCAGAGGTCTGTGCCAACACATGTTCAGCGACAACGGCACCAATTTCATTGGGGCAGACAATGCGCTCAATGCCAAATCAATTGAAACAGATATCGTACCAAAGCTCGCTGAAAGAGGCATTCAATGGCATTTCAATCCGCCTCATTCACCCAATTTCGGTGGTTTGTGGGAAGCCAACGTTAAGTCAACAAAGTACCACTTGAAGCGCATCATCGAAGGCACACGATTAACATACGAAGAATTGTCAACCGTATTAGTACGTATCGAATCATGTCTCAATTCGAGACCATTATGCCCACTCACATCTGACATCGACGACTTGGATGTGCTAACGCCTGGCCATTTTTTGATCGGGGAATCGTTGCTTGCGCCACCACCCGAGCAACCCACAATCAAGGTG